CGAGTGTTGGAAAAAAAAGGCGTATCTAGGCACTACATTGACTTGATGAGAGATATGTAGGATGGAGCGCTTAGTGTACGAACAACTAGTAGAGAGACGAGTGAGTTTTCAGTGACAATAGGTCTACATCAAGGGTCAGCATTGAGTCCGTACCTCTTTGACTTAGCTATGGACAACTTAACTAGGCACCTATAGGATGAGGTACCTTGGTGTATGTTGTTCGCAGATGACATAGTTTTAATGGATGAGACTCGAAACGGCGTCAATCAAAGTTATAACTTTGGAGGGATGCTTTAAAATCCAAAAGTTTTAAATTAGTCGGACTAAGACAAAGTATATGGAGTGCAAATTTAGTAATAATAGTAGAGACGAGGAAGTAGTTAAGATTGACGGTGAGGAAGTACAAAAAAGATGGCACTTTCGATATCTTGGGTCGATAATTCAGGAAAGCAGAGAGAGCAAGAAAGATGGCGCACACAAAATTGGAGCTAGATAGGCGAAGTGGGGATGTGCAACTGTAATTTTATATGATCGCCGCATACCAATGAGGCTGAAAGGCAAGTTAATAGTGGTGAGATTAGCTTTGCTTTATGGGGCAGAATGTTGGACGGACAAAACGCAATGTACCTATAGAATGAGTGTAGCGGAGATGAGGATGTTGAGATGGATGAGTGGCAAGACAAGAAGGGATAGAATTCGAAATGAATCTATTTAATAGAATTTAGTCATGGCATCAATAGGAGATAAAATGAGAGTGAGTAGACTTAGGTGGGCTGGCCATGCATGGTGCCGACCAAGTACAACACTTGTTAGGAGGTGTGAGTTAGTTCAAGTGGAAGGACTGAAAAAGGCGAGGGGTAGATCCAAAAGGATGTGGTTGAAAGTTGTCTGAAAAGATATGGGGACGTATGGCCTCACTTGTGATATGGCCTTTAATAAAGCAGAATGGAGAACCGAGATTCATGTTGTCGACCCCAATTAATTGGAAAAAGGCTAAAATGATGATGATGATGATGATTCCTTATAAGTTTGTATTTAAAGGGAAGATGTCTCTTCTTTGTAGAAATAGAATGATTGAAGAATAAAGAAAGAGTTTTATCTTGTGAAAAGATCGTGGGGTGGTCTCCCTTGCAGACCCTAAGAGAGGGTAGAATTTTAGAACCCTTTTTAATTTATTTTATTTTTCTAATTTATTATTTTTCCCTGCATCACTCTCTCTCCTCGCTCTCTCTCTAGGTGGCACGCCACCAATAAGAAAAAGGGGGGTGGCATGCCTAACCCTAGTTAGGGTTTGAAGAGAGGGGCACATCCACCCCAAGAAGGGAGGTGCCTTGTGACATGCCTTAATTGTTCTAAAAGGGGATCCAATAAACCTTAAATGTGTTTTATGCTCTCTAAAACCCTAGTTTGAGAGGTATTGCCTAAAGAAGTTTCTTGGCTTTGAAAATTGAGCAGGACAAATAGAATCAAGTGCGCCATCAGTCAAGAAATTGGGTGTGGGGTGTACTATGTCCTACAAGGGTGACCCTAGGTGTAGGCACATTCTAGTAATTCTTCCTAGCTGTTAGCATTTATTTTTCAGTTTTATTTGCATATATTCTTGAATTTCCAAGAATATTATTTGTATTAAAATTGTTATTAGAAGCGTGAATTTCATTCATGGATTGTGTCTACTCAATTTGGTAGTAAAAGGAAACATCCTAGGTTGTATTTAGAGTTTTGTTTGTTATTTACAGGTACAACTATTTTGTGGCATTTGGAAATGGAATTCAGATTGATTAAAAGAACAGATAAAGTTTTTGACTTTATTGCCTTGGATTCCACGTAGCCACTTCTTTCAAGGCTTTGTTAAAAGGGTTGATACAGTTTCATACTAACTGGGTTGTCGATCTCCTTGTGGAAGGGTGACTTATAGAACATAATTATGTGGGCTTCCAAAACATCACCATGCCCATAGACACTTGAGCCCATCTTCACCAAATCGCGTAAATCATTAGCTAATGGCATCTTCATGTATATACCTAGTGACATTCGAGCAGTGGCTTATGCACTTGCATGAAATGATGCGCAGCTCCTGACCTTGCAATCACCAGCTTGTCCAACATAGTGCAGATTTGCCTCTAATCTCCCACTCCGCTCCTGAGTCCTTCTCACTTTGCCTCCTTGCTCAGTTGAGGTCTTTGGGTTCCTAGTTTCTGTTATGTACATCTCTTTAACCCCAATTCCACCGTTGCTGGTTCCAAGCCAGATGAGAAAGGAGGAGGGTTGTGTTAGGTTGGTAACCAGTAGAAAACTTTCGCCACATCCCTATCATGTAGCCGATCCCAAATAGTTAAGATAAGGCTCAGATGATGATGATGATTATATCTTTCTAACCGCAACAGTTTGTTTAGGTGTCCCAAGTTGTTGCTCACTCTCCCATTCTCTCTTTTGGCTGGTTGGGGCCGTTTTTCGTCAATCCAACCTTATTGAGACCATTGAATCATAAAGGGCTTTGCTCATGTAACTTGTAGATCTTATATATTATAAATATCGTACGGTCAATCTTTTCAAATATATATATATAGTATGATGCAACCACACTTCTAGAAAACCATGTTTGTAGTATTTGTGTGACTCAAAATTTTGCACACACACTCTCTTCATCTCAATAATCAATCCCCAAAAAAAAAGTTCAATTTGAACCCTAGATATGGTCAAAATTAGTCCCCTCCAACAACAAATCTAGGCCATTCATTTGGTGAATTTCAAGATCTTATCCTTCAAATACTTATATCATTTTTTTTCTTTTTTAACATTGTTCATCTATTGATAATAAAGCCATTTAACAAAAATGGAAAAGAAAAAAATCATTTTAAGGCCTAGATATAAGCATCTTATCAAAATGGACCGGCCTATCTTAATTGGGCTAAAAAACTACTTTCTAGGTTCCATTTTGAAATTTTTCTTTTTTTGTGATTGTTCATTAGAATGAAAAGAGTGTATATTTCAAAATTTGGATAAAACAAATGGCCTTAATATGGTTTTTTAAGATTATTGTATTATACTATAATACAACCGTTGCATGAAATCACTGCCCTATTTATATATATATATATATATAGACACACACACACGCACTGGTGAGGGTGGTTATTGCTAGGCTTATTCATTTCTCAATTGTCCCTTCTACGCACTTGGGAAATGTATCTCGTGGTTCTCGTTTGTTCATCAATTCAGGTATTACTTTTTCTAGTTTCAAGTTTAAGGTTTCAATGTTCTGAGTTTTAATATTTGATAAGAGTATTGTCAGGTTATACAGCTTAGGTTTTTTTTTTTTTTGTTCTGCCGACTTGAAAGTAAATTTTTCAATGATGTTTTGTTACAGGAATGGTTGTGACACCAGCTCTTATGATATGGAAGGCATTGATGTGCACCACTGGAAGTGAATTACCTGTTGTAGTCGTACTTTCTGGAAGCATGGAACCAGGTTTTAAGAGGGTGAGTTTTTTTTGCTTTTCGGCTTGAGAAATGAAATGAATCAGTCTTTTGGCCAATTACAGTACACTGAAAATATGACTCTAAATATCATTTTGACTCTAGATATCATTTTTTTTCCAGTTAGGTTTTGATTGTCCATGTGCTTTCTGCTTATTATTTTTCTTCAAGTTAGAGGCTTGTGACGTTATATTTTGCATTTACCAGTTACATGAAGCAAATTTATATCATGTTATTATATTCAGGCATTTGAACTATGTAATTGCTTCCAAACCATGACTAAGTCAAGCAGTAAGAAGATATTGGCAAATCAATGATTTGCTTGATTTGCTTTTGTGCATTTAAAAATCTTGAATTTGGTTTTTAAGTAATCTATTGTTTTATTGAATTAATGAAGTTGCAATAGATATGGAAATTGAAAGCATAAAATAAAAAAAATTCCTTAGAGATCTCCTATTTTCTCTAACTGCTTTACACCAGGTTAGTCTTATTCGTATTATTAGAAGTATCAATTCAAATTGACCTTTTTAACAGGTCTTAGACATTTGGAAACAGTCCCACAGTCTACGAGTTACTAACGAGAATGATGTTCTCCATAGAGCTGATGGGTAATGTTAATAGGGTTCCAATCTGTCATGCATGAGCAGGAGACAACTGAGGATGTGGACTCCCACCAGAATGGCTTGGGGATTCCACTGAGATCAAGTCTTGTTTCCATCATCATTACACATGTACCCATAAACTCGGATAAGTCTAACTTCTACGTTGGATATGTTTCATACATAATAGTGGTTTTGCTTGTGGAATGACAATAAATCCTACCATAGGTGTAATTTGTTTTTCCTTTAGAGGCCCTAATTCCTTAAAGGTGGTAGTCTCTTTTCATTTATTTTGAGAGTTGTGGACTTGTATTGATGTAGTAAAATAATTTAACTTGACAAATAGATTGAGAACCCCATGTTTTTTATTCCAGGAAAAGTATACAAAGAGACCATTTACTTTAAATACAAGGAGATCACAAATCACTCGTCTGTCAGATTTAAAATTTGATGGTTGTAAATGTATTATTGACTAGACTCAAAGTTCAAAAAAATTCTCTAACGTCGTGACATACTCCAAGCCATCCACTTCATTCAATACTTAGGAGTGATTGTGACCTCTTTGCAACAGTACTAACTGGTCTCATAGTGTACAATCCCTTTATTCCAAAGTAGAAGCATATCATGCTTCCGTATGATTTGACTTAGGCTTTAGTGAAGGTTGGAGACATTGTAATCAATTATATTTATTTTTAATTTCTATTCAATTTTAAAGGATGTATATTTTGATTTTTGTTTTAAGATTTATTGTTAGGATTTTTAGTTTTTTAGGAATTCTGGGGTTTTTATAAATTTTTTATTTATTTTATGAATACTATTCATGAGTACTGTTCATAGGGGTCAAACTGTCATTACGAATTTTATATTAAGTTAGAATATATAGGTCAATGTATTATTTGTTTGGACACTTTTTGTATTTGAAACATTAAATTATAATATATAAGAGGAGTCAAATTCTACACATTTTTAGAAATTAAAAAAGAGAAAAGCTTAGGCTTTTGGAACCCTAGCTTGGGGTATGGAGAAGAAACCCAAGGTTTCTTTGAATTATGCTTGTGTTTAGCTTGTTTGTTGCTGATTTACTGTTCTCTCAAATTTCCTGCATCAATTGTGGAATGTGGCTTAAAGAAAGCATGTAGTGTATGCTTTTTGCTTTCCTTGGTCCACATTTGGACAGTCACAGAAATAACAGCCTTCTGTTTTGTCCTTGGTGCGATCTTATGGTTTTGTTTTCCATCCATTTGAATTGATGCATTTGTTTTACTCATGGCTTTTGAATAATTGGTATTATACCTGATGGATATGGCCATGGGGATTGACAGGGGCATATCAGATTTGGTATAATACCTCAAACTCATACGATATTATGGTAGTTGTCTTCCGATAATTTATCCTAAGCATGACTTTGGGGCCCTAAGGGAATCAAGGGTTAAATTGATCACCATGAGCCTAGGACTCTTATGTATGACTTGTACTGCTTCCACACAAACTGATATGATCTTTGCCTTGTGTGGGAGATTCCTTTGGCGAGACCTTCATGCTAGCATGTTAAATACCAGCCTCCAAATATCATTTTATGTTTCATAAGGCTGGATTGATGGGCTCCTGCTTTGACCACTAAAGGAGTTGGTACTGGTGACGTTTAAACCATATGTCTAAATTGAATGAAAAATTAGACGGTCCACAATGTCACCTACTTGGATAATTAATTTGCATGGTCTGGAAGAGGCCTTAGTAATGTCTCTTTGATGCAAAAAACGTCACATATTGATTTATCTGAGTCCCTAGTTCTCGAAATGATTTGCAAGAATGCTCATAGGTTTAGACAAATACGTTTTTTTATGGTATCAGTGTTTTAGTAAACTTTGTTGGGCCTTGATTTTTCAAGTTATAATTTTGAAGTGTTCTTCAATACAAAAAAAGTCACATGCTGATTTATCTGAGTCCCTAGTTCTCAAAACGATTTGCAAGAAATCTCATAGGTTTAGACAAATACTTTTCTTATAATGTTAGTGTTTTAGTAAACTTTGTTGGTTCCGAATTGCCTTGGTTTTTCAACTTACAATTTTGAAGTGTTCTTTCTAGTGTTTTGATTGTAGGAACACTTTCTTGTAGTGCTTCTACAACAGGGCCATGTTTGGTCTGTCCATGAATACTGGTTTTAAGGATTATGATGGAAGTATCGAGGGTATTTGGGAGGATTCCATTAGGCTTTTGCAAAACTATATTCGGGGGAAAAACTATTTGTGCGAATCTCCACACATTATTTTGCACACACGTGCACTGGAAGGCTTAGACTATTACTCAAGAAAATGCTAGGGGTAGGATAAACTACAAAGTATTTTGGTGTGATCATATTGAGAGGCTGCCCGAACATTGTCGGGATATATCTTATGAGGCCTTTTGACTGTGTTAGTCATTATTGGTTAGGGTTTTTTTTCATAATTTTGTATATTGCTATAACTTATTCTTGTACTTGTAGTTCGTATTCATTGTAAAGGGCAAATATGTAATTTCGGGATTTATTTGTATCCGTACCTAACCCTCAATTAGAAACAATATAGATATATTTCTTTTGGTGCAGCCTCTCATGAATGACTTAGGGGTCAGGGTCCCTCTTCTTTTGGCTTCCTCTCCATCCATCTCTACTTGTACCACAAGTTGTTCTTCTCTCTCAAGCATAGTTGTCGGGTGCAAGTGCATTCTGGGAGCGGGAACTGGCTCGGTTCAGCAGAACCGTGGATTGCTGGAAGCTCCTTGTAGTTAGGATCATCGTCCATATGATCCTATATCAAGGAGCATGATCCTTGTAACAGGGAAGCATGATTCCATGAGGTAGGCATCACAATAGTAAGTTTTAAAGGATCGCAGATGATGCATGGGTTCACAATACCATTGGGCACAAACCTGAATAAGTGCATATGAATCAGTGCCCGAAAAGAGAAAACATCATATGCATGCATCATACACTTGAGAACCGTGGTTTAAACCTGCTGGGAGTGGGGCTCACAATATAGGGATCCACATTTGATCCAAGATCCTTGGCTGGAATCGTGGCATTGAGGTTCCGAAGCGCATACATGACCTTGCCTACAAGATTCCAGCAACTATGCTCTCAAGTATTCAAGGTGATATTTTAACAAGGTATAAGAGCAAGATTCTGAAAGAAGTGGGAATGTGTAATTTAAGCGAATCAAATCATATATATTTTTTAATTAATGAATCTGAATTCCACTTACAATTGCCACATTACACTGCTGTAAACAAGAAATAAAGCCTTAAATACAACATAAGATCTTTGCTTTTACTTTTAAAAGGAATAGGCACAATCTAGGAAGGACAAACAAACTTCCACTAACAATTTTAGTACAAATAATGTTCCTTGAAATTCAAATAAATATGCAAATATGACCAAAAAATAAAAACAAACAGCTGGGAAGACTTGAATATGTCTAGGGTCATCCCCATAGGACTTGGGATGTACATCCCACACCTGATTTCCTAATCGATGGCTCACTCTGATCCTGTTTGCCTTGCTCAATTTTCTGAGCTGAGAAGCTTACTTAGGCAATACCTCACAAACTAAGGTTTCTTATAAGGGCATAACACGGTTAAGATTTCTATAACCCTTTTAGAAGTACCTAGGGCATGCAACAAGGCACCTCCTTATTTTCTTGAGTTAGAATTGCCTCCCTTTTAAACCCTAGGTGGTGCGCACCGCCCCCCTTGAGGCTTGTGTGCCACCCACTTTAGAGAGCGCGAGGCGAGAGGAGAGAGAGAGAGAGTGGGACGTGAAGGGGAGAGAAAGTAAAGGTAGGCTAGAAAATTGTGTAGAATGAGACATGGGTTCCCCTCCTTATATAGGCCTTGAGTGCCCCCCTAGGTATGCCTATCCAATTATGACTCACCATGACTAATAGGAGTTTAGGAAATCTATGTGGTATGAGAGAATTAAATTTGAGCCATTTATCCCATGAATCAACCATCATGATTTAGGAAGGAAAATAAGAACATTATCTCTTGAATCTTTGACTCATATCCACTTCTAGTCGAACTAGATTAAGACCAATCTAAAATAACCTTCTAAAACATCCTTTATTTCTTTTAAAATGGTAGGAAGTCAAAAAATAAAGATTTGGTCAAAGAATATTTGAAAAAATTAACTCCCACAAAATAAGGATACAATATCCTTTCTAAAAGATTTTCTTTTAACCATAAAAAAACTTTTAATAACATGAGAAATAAACAAGAGAAGAAGGGGTGGTGTGCCACTTCATGTGTGAGGTGTGGGTCGCATGAGCTCCACGCCCCACCATGTGGTGTGGCTGGATCCAAGGGCACCACATGTGCCCTTTCACACTTCCAAACTGTTGGAAATACCCTTCTAAATGAAAACACAACTAA